CCTGGCGCCCTCTTGGGCGGAAGGCTCGGATTTTCGGTCCGTGGTCCCCCTCTTGGCCCCCTCTTGGGCCTGTCTTCGGGCCCTCGTGGGCCGTCTTGAGCGTCTCTTGGGTCGTCTTGGGGCCCTCTTGGGCTGTCTTGGGGCGCTCTTGGAAACCTCTTTGGCCGTTCTGGGGCGCTCTTGGAGGCCTCTTGGGCCGTCTTCGAGCGTCGGAAAGCGGAAAAGGCGAGAAGGCCAAAATCCTTCCAAAACCGTCGTAATGCGGACGATTTTGAGGCCCAAAACCGTCCAAAACCTCCTGAGGCGGTCCCCTCGTCCGCCCCCCTCGCTTCGAAGCAGTTTTTAAGCCCCGTGGCACCTCTTGGGGATCTCTTTTGGGCTCCTGGGGGCCTCTTGGGCCTCCACTGGATTCGCTGCCCTCGGTCGGCAATCGTCGATCCTACGACGACTCTCCCCACCGGAGAAACATCGAAGGCCCTCGGAGCGTCCAACATTGTTCTTTTGTGCCTTCGATATGCCGGTCGCCTCTCGTCCGCTCCCCCCCTCCTGGAAGCAATTCTGAGGCCACGTAGGGCTTCGTGGGGGCCGTTTGGGGATCTCTTGGGGCGTGTTTGCCTGCGATATGCCTGTCGCCTCTCGTCCGCTCCCCCGCTCCTGGAGGGAATTCTGAAGGCACTGAAGGCTTCGTGGGGCCGTTTCGGAGCCTCTTCGGCCTTCTTCTGGGCCTCCCGGGGGGGCTCTTAGGGCCCTCTCGGGCCGTCTTGGGTGCCTCTTGGGCCGTCTTGGGGCCGTCTGAGACCCGCCTCGGCGCCTCTTGGGCTGTCGTGGGCCGTCTAGGGCCGCTCCTGGGGTCGTCTTGGGTGCCTCTTGGGCCGTCTTGGGCGCCTCCTGGGCCGTCCTGGGGCCGTCCTGGGGCGTCTTGGGACCGTCTGGGGGCCCTCCTGGCCCGTCTTGTGGCTCTCTTGGGGTCCTCTTCGGCCGTCTTGGAGCGGTCAGGGGGGGCTTCTTGGGCCGTCTTGGCGCGTCGGGAAGCCGACGAGGCGAGGAGGCCGAAAACATAGAAAAACACAGTAGAACTCTAGGATTTCGGTCGCTCGGGGCCCTCTTGGGAGGCCTCTTGGGAGGCCTCTTCGGGCGTCTTGGACGCCTGTTGGGCCGCCTGGGGCGAATCTCGGGCGTCTGGGGCCCATCTTTAAGCGTGCCGGGGCTCTCCGGGGCCGTCTTGGGGGAATCTGGGGGCCCTCTCGACATGTCCTGGGGCCTGCCTGGGCGGCCCGGGGCCAGCCCGGGGCGGTTTTGAGACATTTGAGCCTGCTCACCCTTCCCGCACGCACGTGTCCCTGCAATGTAGTAGAGACTAGGGCTGACCCGTGGACTCCGTCCACGACATCTTTCTGGAATGGTTCTCGGAGGAACGGCGCAGATTGTACCGAAAATCTACAAACACGGCGGCGGCTTGGGCGGCGGCAGCGAGACCGCGCCTTCGTGTCCGAGCTCTTGCAGCGCTGCAGCAGCTTGGCCCAGCGCACTGCTCGTTCACCCCCCTCCTATTGAGGACAGTTTCGAAGTCTCGCGGGGATGTGCGTCGAAGTCGAAGCCCATCTGAGGCGTCTCAGGAGCGCTCGG